CCCGCGTCGCCCTCCGCCGCTGCCACCTCCAGCCAGCCCCGCCCCGCACCGCCTGCCGCCGCCACGCGTCGCGTGCCCCCGCCGCACTCGCAAAGGACCTCGAGGCCCGCTGCCCCACCAGGCGCACCAACCTCGCTCGAGGTTGGGCGAGCGCAGAAGCACAGTTCGGGATGGCGGATCGGAATTCATTGACTGGTTCTCTCTTTCTCTCCCCTCCATTGGATTCGCGGAGGTGGTGGATCTATCTTGCCTTCGTGGCAGCGGCGGAACGAGCTCCGTGAGATCGGGTGGGCTTGCTTCTGGTAATCTTAGTTTTGTTAGTAGCAAGTGGTCAATTTAGTGTTCATTGGCAACAAAAAGAAGTGAATAATATCATGCCATAATTTAGTGTTGCTTCCCGGTCCTGGATAGATGATGTATTGCATTTCTGCATAAGCTAGGAAATCTACAAATTGATTATCTGCAGACTATTTGTCCATACTTCTCCAAGATCTGAACATATACCATCTTTGTTGATCGATTTTATTACTAACTAGCAGATTCCTCCTGGTGTTTGGGACGTTTTCGGCTGGTTTGATTTACTAGCTACGTCCAAGGAGGGCACTGGATTGATTTCATGAGGCTTACTAGCTACGTCCCAAGCAGGCAAATCCAATATGTTGATCGATTTGATTGTTCCGGCTGGAAAGTAACACATCTGGAGGTCAGGAGGTGCGTCGTTCACACTAGATCATACCCGGAGTTCTACAATTAGGCATGATTACAACTGGGAAACTACCCTTCCTTGATAACTATTTTAGTATCTGTTTTTATTTACTGATGATGAGAACTAAATAAATTGGCTACTATCATGTTCCTCCCATAAAAAAAAGATTCTGGTAGATGTGCTTCACAATAATAATGGTAATACCTAAAGGAGTTCTTGCTGCAAGTTAGCGCATATATATATTCTTAGGTACCACGTACCTGTGTTACTGGTTTGCGTTAAGGATTTCGCTACTGTCGCCAAGGTATCTACAGAATTACAAATATGATGCAACATGATTTTGCTATTGTCGGTTACAAATATGATGCAACATAATTTTGCTAATGTTCAGTTACAAATATGATGCAACATAATTTACTTAGGCTTAAGTATATGAGCACATAGTTGGAGAGCGACAAACTAAAGAAATATCACACTCTACAATTCTTGTCTAACTGAACCAAGTTCAGTTTTGAGTATAGAGAAATGTAATAGAGCAATCATTTCAAAGCTGCATCTAATTTAAGAAAGTGATGAGATGAATGTAGGGCTTTCTTTTTTATTTATACCTTCTCTTCTTTATCTTTAGTTTTATCTACTTATCAATAGTATCTACCGGCTCGAACTCGAATTTGATCGCCTTCCATACTTCACAAGCTGCGGCTAGTTCAGGACTCCATTTGCAAGCTGCTCGGATAATTTCATTATGCTTATCGAATGTAAATGGACACAATATTCAGCCCTTACAACAGGAGTATAGAAGCCTAGACCATACTTATTCAATGATATGGTACGTGCAACAGAGGAACTTGATGCAACAGACCACCCTCCATTTACAAACCTTTCGATGCAGCATTAGAAATTGTGCCATATGTAATGGCAATGCATTTCTTTAATAATAATAATAATAATAATAATAATAATAATAATAATAATAATAATAATAATAATAATAATAATAATAATAATAATAATAATAATAATAAGCAATCAACTCCAAATCAGATTTGGGCTCCCAAGCAGCCGAGCAAAGCAGCAGCACGCCGGTCATGGGCCTCGTCGCCGGGAGCGGGAGAAGAGGGCACGGGCACATGCACGTGGCTGCTGCGGCAATCGGCGGCGGAGCTGGCTGGGCGGGTGGGCCGGCGCATTGATTAGTCAATCATCTTGTCTCCCTGTCTAAAAAATCCTCCCACGTCGTCGGCGGCCGGCGAGTGCCCTCGTCGTTGTCCAATGGCCCAGACCTCGAGCACGGCCCGCCGTAGAGCCAGACGCCGCCGCCATCCTCGTGGCAGCCGGAGCTCGCCGGTTGAAGAACGCATGCACCTGCCCCTCTGGCTCCTCGCCCGCATGCAGGCCTTCACGGGGCGGCGCCGCCGCTGAGCTTGACAGTGATGCGCTCTGGAACGGCCTCCCCTCTGCCATGAAGCTCTGTAGCCGGGAGTTCCCCGGCCACCCTCCTGTATCTGTCGAGGACACCTTCGGGCACCTACCTGGAAGGCCAGAACGCGAGCATGGGGTCGCCGGCCACCCCCAGGACCCAACTGGCGCCCTCGGGCACCCACCTGGAACGCAAGCACGGGGTCGCCTGACACCCCCGTCACCCACATGCGCACCCCCCAGCACGGGGCCGCCAGCCTACTGCCTCCTCCTTCCTCCTCGGGTTACAGAAGCTCACATGAGGGGGTTGCTCGATCCCAATCTAGATCGGGGTAGTTTCAGGGAGGGAGGATTTTTTCGCAAATGACCCGTCTAACATTGTTTATCGCGAATGTTGCACCACATCAGCAAATGGTGGGCTCCATCTATCATAATCGTCATCAGATGGGCCAAAGCCATCAACTAGTATTTTTTGCGGAAGATTAGGCCAAAAATTAGTGGTTTTTGGCAAGAAATCGTAAACCAGTGTTTTCTGCAAACCTAGGCGCTAATGTGGTGGTTTTTTGCAATTCATTCGCTCAAAAGCCATGGGTAAACGAGGTGTACAGTTTAGTCCCTCCTATCAGCCACAATCAGAATCTTCGCTCAACCAAAACCTTTATACCCCAAGCCTGGTAGAAATCAAACTTGGTATATCCAGCAAATTCAATCATCAATCAATAAAATGAGATCACTTTATTTCAATGCACCAACAGATCAACACAACGAAAAGAGAATATGAGCTCTGACTAGCACTACGCTTACCAAGCAAACAGATGGTTGCTTTGTATTAGCGGACTGTAACACTATTTCAGAGGAATAAACTCATACCCTTTTCACAAAAAATAAATAAAAATATGGTCGCAGGAATATTTCAAAAAAATGGAGGCTTTTTGCTTCAGCGAGGGGATATAGAAGTTGCAATACCATAACAGAAAGTACTCCCTTCGTCCCATAATGTAAAACGTTTTTTGACTCTATTGTAGTGTCAAAAAACGTCTTACATTACGGGACGGAGGGAGTAGCTACTAACAGTTAGAAGTTACACATTTATTTGTTCACTACATAGTTATTGACTATTGTTATTACTACATGATACAGATTTACACAAAGGGTATGGAATGTGCACTCAGCAAAGGGCCTTCAACAGTTTGTATGAAGGAAATGTTGAAGAGGAGGCCCCGACAGTGCAACAAATATGAACCAATTCCAGTGTGTGGTTAACTACATGAAATGTGCAAGCTCACTAAAACGTTCAGCCTTTCAGTACAATGCGTATTTCACACATAGAAGTCACCCAATCAGCACAGAGCCAACCTACATCTTTATTTTGAAGTGCTCCTTCTACACTCCAGTTAATACAGAAGGTAGAACATGTACCATGTGTCCATGTCAGCTGTATGACTCTTATCATCTACTCAAAAACATTTAATAACATAAAATGCTAGTTAACCATGCAGGTCAGACCATTAAAGCGAGCATTTGTGGTTTATAGATCAAGAATACTTGGACCTTTACAGCAAGTAAATCATCAGGAGAAGATAATTTGCTGTCAACCAACAAAAATATTCAGATGGCCTTTTACCCTGTGAAGTCTCCACGCTGAAACCCACCTACCCTTGTACTCCCTCCGTTTCAAAATAGATGATACAAAATTTAGTACAAAATTGGATCATCTAGTATTCTGGAACGGAGGGAGTAAGTTTTAGGGATTTATACCCAAAGAGCACAAGACACCAGTCTCAGGAATCCCGCTATTGGCAGCGAGTAGTGGGAACAGGACAATTCCCACCAGGAAAACAAACCTTCACTATTCTACTCTACATATATTTTCTGGGTTGCTCCACTTTTTCTCCCGAGCTACGCGCTAAGCAGCGTTTACCAAGGTACATTGAGTCACACAAAGATGCAGCACTAGAGACTCACGCGATATATTCTAAGCATTTTACTGCTGATCCTCTGTAAACTAATATAAGATCTTTTTAATCACTACAAAGATATTATACTCCCTCTATCTGAAATTACTTGTCGCGGAAATGGATGTATCTGGACGTATTTAATTTCATTTTGTCTAATTCACATCTAGATGTTTTTTAAGGATGTCACATCTAAGCTCTCACCAATATATAATTCATCAATAAGAAACAAAAAAAATAGGACAAAAGAAATTAGACCACAAACAGAGTGGACATCAGTTTAGATGTGACATAACTATGTCACATCTAGATGTGTCCTAGACAGAACCTTTTAGTTCTAGATACATCCATTTTTATCCAATTCCGCAACAAGTAATTCCGGAGGGAGGGAGTACTAGTTTATAGAGGGAGTACCATTTTTCTCACTCCAATTTTATTAGGTACAAAAACTAGAATTGTCAGAAAAGAAAAGGAAGTGAAAGGATCTTTACATACTCTATACTGATCTTGGGCTGATTAACCCACTCGTGCTATCAGCATGGCATTTGATCTTAACCTAACCAACACCTAATCTTCTGTACGAAATACTAATTACCACGTGCACAATTTCTGAAATTTTAGAAAAGTTCATTTGCGTTGGTGAACCCCAACTTGATAAAGCAAGGGTCCACATCAAAAGGCACTACAAAGGAGTAAATCTGAAGTTCAAAGGGAGAACAAATTCCTTGCAGAAATAAAAGGATGCAGAATGACTGTCAAATCAAACAGCAGAAAGGCCCATTTCGAAGCAAGAGGAAGCATATATCAGCAGGAGACTTTTTTTAAGTTAAAAATACAGGTATGCATTTTAATCTACCTGCAGCACGACCAAAATTGTCATCTGGGTCCATCTAATAAAGGTAAACTAATAGAGGCTCACATTCACAAATTTGGTCATCAGAACCAATCAACGAAATTATTTGCAATCTCACGAAAGAAATGGGCATGTATGTAACAGGAAGAGGAAAGATGTGGCAACCTGTCGGAGATGTAGCGGAGGAGGAGATCAGTGACGAAGGTGTCGGCTGAGAAGGCCTCCATGGTGCCAGCGGCGCGGTCGACGGCGGCGCAGGCCATGGCCCCGGCCTCCAGGATGTCTACATCGTGGGTCATCTCGACGCGACGCCACAGCGTGGTGTCGCCGTCGGCGAGACGGCGCCACGCGTGGCATACCTGCCCGGCTCCCGTGAGGAGGTCGGCCGCGTCCAGCTTCCCGAATATGGTGGAGAGCGCGTCTGACTGCATCCCGGTCCAGTCGCGGCTCTCGCCCTCCTCCTCCTCCATGGGTGGCCAAGCAGCGGCGGCGGTGAGGTGGGGCTAGGGTTTGCCAGGAGAGGAAGAAGAGGCGAGTCGGCTTGGGGCTTAGGCCAACTCCAACGCATGATCCCATCCGCTCCGTGTATGACCATTTGAGCCCAAACAGATAGACGGCACGGCCCAACCCATGAACGCATCTGTATTTTTTGTCCGTTTGGCGTCCGGTCCGCCCCATTTTCTATGCAAACTTGCGTCTGGTTTGCTTTCACACGGACGTCGAACGAACGCCCACGCGTTTGCTCCGCGTCCACCTCGGTCCCGTGATACGACCATGAGTAATTTACATACGATGGTTGCTGCTGGTGATATGGCCATGTCTAATGCTAGTGTTCTGGACGTTCACAAAATACAGCTGCAAGTCAATTGTTTAAAAGAAGAAAAGTCCGTGGATGTATATTTATTATATGAGAATAATTACGTGGACGGTGAAGGGCTAAATCAAGGCAGAAAACATGCATGCAAAATTAACCATGCTCGTTTTCGCAAGGAAAAATCAACGTGTATCAATAATACTTGGAAAGAGATGGGATTGTACGCTGATGAAAGGGAGCACGCGAGCTGTGATATATTCAATTCAGTCAACAATATAAAGGAGAGAGATTTATTTCTATTCTTGCCACTTCCATGTAAAAGGAAAGTTTTTCAACGTGGCAACACTTCTTGGAGCCTGATACGTGATTTCTTGTCATTAAAGGACATGGAATGGGGCCCACCCGCAGCACATGAAGCACTTGAAGATGGCGCACAAGTCTAGATAGATATTCTTTCTGTTTCAAAATAGATGACTCAACTTTGTACTAACTTTAGTACAAAATTGAGTCATCTATTTTGAAACGGAGGCAGTACCTTTTTATCTTAAGTTAAGTTTAAGTCAGTTTACACTAGTAGAAAAAGGGTCAAACGTGAAGCACATTAGTGCCGGTTTGTAAAAAAACCGGCACTAATGTGATCAATAGTGCCGGTTCGATTGGCTATGCATTAGTGCCGGTTCGTAATGAACCTTTAGTACCGGTTCGTGCCACGAACCGGTACTAAAGGGGTGGTGGCAGGCTGGCGTCAGGCCAGGGCCCCACGAGCCCCTTTAGTGACGGTTTGTGACACAAATCGGTACTAAAGGTCTAACCTATAGTACCGGTTTGCGTCACCAACCGGCACTATAGAGTCTTAACCTATAGTCCCAGTTGAAG